TTTGGTTTCCTTGTAAGCCATTTATTGATAAAAATTCGATTGATGCTTGCTCGACGTGGCGGCAACGGCACTCTTCTACCACAGGTTAAATCCTTTTGTTGGATCTGGATATTCCCTGACTGGTCAATCAATCAATCGATAACTAATAATTACTACATTAATACTACACTAATATTTTTGTAATGGCTATTTGAAAGTTATTATTGACGGGGCGAACAAGTCGTACGAGTGATGGGTAACCTGCACACCTGTCCATAACAGCATCAGTGCCACTCATGGCTTCAAATCGCAAAGATCTGAACGACATTACCACTGCGCCCGTCACCCTGAGACATAAGTTGACAAGTCCCATGTGCCTGTAATTTCACCAGCACCCTTCGAAATTGGAACACAGTAATGCTGACATTACTGCTTGGCGGCAGAAATAGGTAAGGTGACAGTTGAGCCTTCTTATGAGGTCGCTCACTATGGACCTCATAAGGCTCAAGATCACACAAAGGGCAATAGAATGGGCAATGTTCTGAGTTTGACTGCAAGATCGAATCAGTAATGAGGATATCCGCAAGGGAACCAGAGTAACCGGCATAGCCCGAAGAATTGCAAAACTTAAGTGTTAGTGGGCAGGCGACATGGCTCGCAGAAGCTGATGACCTGGTGAAGGCTGCAGGAATCCGCTGGATGCAAACGGCGCAGGGCAGGTCGTTGTGGCATTCTTTGGGGGAGGCCTATGATGATGATGATCTTTAGTATCTCATATATGTTGTCGGTAGTGGGATTACTGGGTTACTAAAACAAAAACTGAAATTTTTGCAAAATCATTGATTTCTTTTTATGATACCAAATGGCCCGTCATTTGTCACCCGCACAAGTCGTGTTGCAACACCGCTCAGAGCTTTAAATCAAAAAGATCTGGGGGCCTGCCATAACCTTTCGAATAACAATCTTATTTCAATGTAAGCTTGAAGTAAGCTTATTATAATATTACTTATATTCGTACCATGACAAACCTGTCAACCAAGTAATGTATTATTGCTAAAGTGATTGAAAGAACGAATGATTTCCCAATATTGTCTATTCCTTACTAAACATAGGAAAGAAATATGGCTATATGAACTATATAATGCCATCTCTTTCTTTTCTGATGTTCCGAATCGTCTCATGGTAGTATAATGTTTAAGTACTTAATGTTATTAACATTGAGAGAATTTTAACTGTTAAAAAAGTATGTAATAATAAAATCTATTAAAATTACGTTGTTTTCAATTATTTTTCAGCATTTTTATGAAGAAAAAATATATAAAACAAACTGAGTCTTGATAGTCACGTTGTGAATTCGGAATTATATTCTATTGTCAACTGTTAGTGTCGGGAAGGAGCTACTATATGATGTCGCTGTCATAATTTTACGAAATAAACATCGCGTATTTTTATTAAACGAGAAATTGTTTCCTATGTACTATTAAATAAAAAAATAAACAAAATATTGAAGAGATATTTAAATAAATAAGTTCACTTTTAATCATTACAAATCAATATTTAGACAACAAATTCGAAAATAACATTGTTTTCACGGCGTCCGAGTAACTATTTTCAGATGGCTAAATTTGACATAAGAACAATATTACTTTAATGTTAAAGTGACGTCATAGAACGAACTGAGTGAATGAACAGTCACAAAGCTGCCAATAAAACATCATAATAAGCTTACTTTCAGCGCGCCATGGTACGAAAAATCAATGTAAGGTTAAAGTAATAATGTTTTAAGAGGACAACCTCTAGGCCCCCTGACTCTAGTAGGTCCCACTCTCCTCATATGCCTGTAATTTCACTAGCACCTTCATTTACCCTTCAAAGCAGAAGCCGAAGCTCACATTACTGCTTGGAGGCCATTGACTTACAAATAAATGGACGACGGGTCTAATATAAAAACCACGAAAAAAATGTCCCAAGTCAACCTATTCGAAATTTAAATTGTTATGTCATCGCAGTATCGCGCTGTCCGTAGAACAAATGAAGACTAAAGCGGAGTGTCGCGCTCTGTATACGATTTTAGCGCCTTACAAGTGCGGACACTTTTTAGCGCGGACCCGACGTCCATATAATTGTAAGTCAATGTTGGAGGCAGAAATAGGTAAAGTTTAAATAATATTTTAAAGATATTTCTATAGTTGCGTAATTGAACAAAGTACCCATCTCAGTTTTCATAATAATGATTATAATTATTTGAATTGCAAATTGTATGAACTCAACTAACTGTTGTTTAATGCTCCTTGTAGTTGATTTCATTACTTGATTCTTTATTAACTCTGCGCACGCGCGTCTGCAACTGTTTTCTTTCAATTTTGGTGCATTTAGGGTGAACAGGGCTGGCACACAAAATCGCTTGCTGTTCTTTTTAGAGAGTATAACGTGTTTGTCCTATAATTCATGTTAGAACAGTGTGTAATGCTCACTATAACGTTTAATTAATTAATAACATCTAAGAGCAAAAAGCGAGTAATGAAATAGACGACTCAGTCCACATACATTTATTAAATAATAAGGCGGAAGAAAAAGTAAAAAGGCAAAAGAAGGCTCAAAAGGGCCGTATTTTCTACAAATATTAGTTAGGCTACTTGATTTTAGTGATATTAGATAGATTATATGATTTTAATTGAAAAAAAAACAAAATATTGAAGAGATATGTAAATAAATAAGTAAAAAAAACCGATTAGAATTTCTGGTGAAGACGAGCAGGAGTGCTCGCTTCAGACATTAGGTGTGACGACAGAACGAAACAAAGTGAGAATGACGTAGCAAAAGAAATAAAGAACGATTCAAAATTAAAAAATAAGAGGCCAGAAACCAGAGAAAAGGTGATAAAAAGGTCGGATGACGATGGAGGAGGGCGCATCGCAATTCTACTTCTAGATAATATTTCATGATACGAGATCTAAAACTTTCGTATTAAACAAGACGTTACATTACATAATCGCATAGACTATTAATGTAACAATTAGGTATATTCACAACAGCCCTACTCTCGAAGCAGTAAATTCGAAATTCGAAGATAATTTTGTTAGGTTTCTCTGATAAAAAGAATGGTTAAAAAATATACATTTGATATTAATTTGAAATTTATTATGGGTTTTTCCGTGAAGGGAAATGTCGTGACGAAACCTGCATGTCAAAGAACGTTCACAACTCTCGGCAAACATTTACAGTCCCCAAAACCCAAAACGTATAGGACCAGTGTGGCGGACTATCTAAAGAATCGCCTGAGAGAAAACCCCCTGTTCGGCAATGGATGATTCACAAATATACGTATCTCAAATTTGAAGTATGTCATTTGGAAAGCAACCTTTCTCTTTTTTATAATTTACTGGAGCAAATGCAAGTGCTACATGTAAAAACAAAAATCGCCTAGTGACAACCCTGCGGTTAAGGTTATAAATTACCGGGTGTTATTACAGCATCACGGCGTTTAATTAACAGCCGACACCAAGTTCATAACTTGGTCTATTTCGAGACATAATTTGTTACAGTTAGTAATGTCTATTTGGATTAGTTGTTATGATATCCGATCTTACTGCTTTCCTTTCTGGTCACCTGTCCTATAAAATTATATTTTCAAGTTCCTAAGATGTTTTAGCTATTTGTCGATAAGGAAGCTTCCATTCACCTCGGATCGTTCCTTTTATATGGTGGTGCGAAGGTTTGCGCGTTGCAGTGAACAAGTAAAGATTCTACTTTTTAAATCATACTGCCAAGTTTTTTACACGTGCAGCCTTTGGACAACTATACGCACAGAGCCATCAGCGCCCTGCGCGTACAATATAACAATGGTTTTCGTATGTTGTTGGGGCTGCCGCGGTTCTGCAGCGCGTCAGGCATGTTTGCACAGGCTCGCAATGATGACTTTTATGCCATTATGCGCAAAAAGTCGGCCTCACTGCTCTGCAGACTGCGAGCCAGCTCCAGCCTAATACTGAAAACCATTGCCATGAGAATTGACTCTCCCTTTATGCGGCAACTTTTTTCGCCTCGTTTTTAATTGCTTTCAAATGTTCATGTTTTTAATTTTAATTTTAATTTAATAATGTTTAGATGTAGTGCCTACTAACATAATTTTTAAGAATAAAATGTTACTAACACATGTGGACTAAATAATTGTCTGAAATAAATATATTATTATTACTATTATTATTATTACAAACATAAGAATGTTGTGGTTGGAGGATAAGTGTACCTAATTTTTTCCACATACTTTTAACTTACACTCAAAAAATTCTTTATTTTGTGGCGGCTTACCAAACCACGGCAAGGATGCGCAAGCAACATACGTGTGGATAATGTGTTTGGATTGGTAATGCGAGCATTAGTTTGTTATAATTATTAATACAAAGATCGAACACTCAGAAAAAATCCTTTGATCCGGCCGGATTCGGACCGACGCCTTCTAGCTTACCGTGGCAGACGCTATACCAACTAAGCCACGGAACGAACCAGCGGACCTCACGAATTTTTTCTTGCGTCGTGTCTTTGTATTTGGTTTTTCAACGACTTTTTAGTCGTAGCGCCATCTATGAGAAATCTTTGAAAGATTTATCACCTAGTTTGTACCTTTACAGCTACCAGTCCTGGCGAGAGATGTCGCTACTCGCTGTATTTTAAATTTTTATTGAATTGATATTCAATTATTTTTTGTGAAATTACTCCGTTAGTTTGTTAGAATTATTAATACAAAGATCGAACACTCAGAAAAAATTCCTTCGATCCGGACGGATGTGAGAGCTTTATCATCGACTTCATCATCGCTTTCCATCAGATAAAATGGAGCACAAATGCGCACTTAATTTGCACAAGGGGCTTGTCAGCTTTGTGTCTCACGGTGACGGGCGCAGTGGTATACCTTAAGTAATGCGTAGGCGTGTCCCTTACCACCAAGTATACGACTTGTCCGTGCAATCACTTGATATCTGTCAATATTTAAAAGCATGTCTTTTTTCTTCTAGGCGTGCGCCCCTCGGTACGTTTCCTTCGTGACAGCGAAGTTGGACCAGCGCGATCCAGTGGGCTCGTGCTTCGTCGCCAAGTCCTCGGACGCCAGCGAGGTCAACGAGTATTCACCTTGCCGTACTTGTGAGTGTTACTTGCTTACTTGTTTAGGTGAAACGAGGGCTACCATTGTCACACATGTGGAAACTACAATTGATTTTTTAAAATAATATCAAGTGATAAGACGAACTACACGTCTGTATAACAGTTGCATTGCCACTCAGAGCTTTAAACCGCAAAGATCTGTCACTGCCGTGACCATGAGACATAACTTAACAAGTTCCATGTGCCTGTAATTTCACCAGCTCCGTTACCCTTGATCTCTTGGGCACTTTTCGTGGTGGCTACTCTTCTCTCGCCTCTCCCAATTTTGAATTGCTGAGCTTGAAGGTTGAGAAACGATATTTACCGGCAATGACACAGTCGGCCACAGACACGTGACGTGCGGTATACGACACGCTACAAATAATGTACACGATTTACACACCACATATCTAATATAAACATCATCAATTCATTATTTAATTAGACAGTGGCGGATTTGCTCTAAGGCCTAGTAGACCCTATCGTGACAAAAAATTCGGTGATGGTAACAAGAAATAACTCAAAGTACCTAAATGTTCTAAAGACTCGCGTATATAATGGCGGGCCGCACTGCACCGCACCGTACAACAATAATCTTCCTAAATTAATTTCGTACATAGTAAATGAAACTATTTTTCCAGATTTAAATCGCGTATATCCGCTCACGCAATGCGCTCCTCCTACCGCAAAATGGCGGCTATTTGGTTTCGCAAATTAGAAAAGAATTCAGTTTAAATACAAGTTTTTATAAATAAAAATTATTATTCTGCATTGCTAAATAAATATCCTCCGTACTAGCAACAAAAACATCTCAAATAAAATGCAGTAATACACCGCAAATCCTGCACTTAAAAAGCACTAATAAAATTTTTGGTGTACTTGGATAAATATGATAATATTCCGTTTGAGTGGTTCTAACGTTTACCATGAAATTACTCCTTAAAGTATAGTTTATAAACATTTATATTCAGGGTAAACTTAAAAAACGCTACTTACGGTATGTTTTCAATAAATAAACACCGAAATCACCAGCCCAAACAATAACACTCACGATTGTCGTGACGTATTTTTGAAGTTGTTTATTTTTTTTAAATGACAGACCCAGGCAATAAAAACTTTATGGTTTGCTAGAGTAGTTACCGAAATAGCAATTAGTATTAGTTCTTTCACCTGTTATAACTTCGATATTCGATAAATCGGTATAAAATCATCAACGGCACCTCTAGGTGTGGTATGCGTCTACGGCTGCATGTATCGCGTGAGCGGATATTTGTTTTTTCAAACAGACCAACGTTTCGGGCCCTTTACAGGTCTCATGGTCATGGTTGACTGAGGTGGACAGTCTTCAACCAGTTATGTCTAATATTAATTAATGAAAATAGGGTGGGGTCACCCTATTTTTTCACTATAGTTGCAAAAGTTATTAATTAAATACCTTAGTTTTTTGTAATTTTACTAAGAAACATTCCAATTTACACGACATTGTTTAAGAAATTATTTTATTGTAACAATATGAATTTTTATTAAATTAAATTTATTATTAATGAATAATGGTAATTAGGATAAATTAAAACATATTAATTAGTACTGCAATCTTATGTCTGTTTGGGATTTTGCATCACAGGACATACTGAATCTCAAACTGGTGGTACGGAGAAGCCATCTTTCTTTTTGAAATGAGGATGTTTTTTAATTTCAATGGCCTCTCGCAGCATCCTGGGTAGATAACGGGCTTCTTTTGCAAGGACCTGGGGTTTGTCAAACTTCATTGAATGTGTAGGTTTATCCATGACATACTCGCAGACTGCAGACTTGTTTACGCGACGGTGTTTGACATCAGCTGTATGTTCTTTATATATATATATTAAATACTTCGCTTCGTTTGTCCAATATAAGAGAGACTGCACTCAGAGTCAAACTTGTAAACTCCTGCAATATGTAATCCTCTCTTCTCTCTCGTTTGCATCACTTTCGTACATTTTATGTATAAAATATAGATATGTTACATATCTATAATGTAATGTATAATCACTACATCACTACGTCTGTCTGTCTGTCTGTTCGCGATAAACTCAAAATACCGAACAGACGCTGGTACTGACTACATACCCTGGTGTCTAGGACGGCCAAGATCGCAAATCCGCCACTGTAATTAGTTCAACTTATCCGTAGAACAAAGACCTATATGCAAGACTGCTTATTCTCAGGACATTGTACATTTCGTTCGCTGTTCTTAGCCGTGAATATTAGATCGACCGTTGATCGATTTTATATTTCCTAAACGAAATAATACATGAAATTCTGAAAACACCTATAGCTAGGCCTTATTTTGAATAACGAGATTATGTATTTACCATCTTTTCGCTGTATAATCTCATCGGACTCTGTTCTTCGGATGAGTCAAGTATTATTATTGTTTCATTATTAATGGAATTGGTGGTAGCTCTCTATATTTTTTAATCTAATTTGAAATGTTTATCCAATATTTTGTTGATTATATTGTCCTTTTGAAATCGTGTGGTACGATTATACATTATAGGCATAATTACGTAGCTATTTTTTAGAAGTCTATGTCTAGGAGTAATATTCTATATAAATATGTATGTATGTACGCTGTCTATATGCATGAATTTTGTTTTTCTGAATGTCTGTAATAATTATTCGTCGAATTTAAATGTGTCACCAATCTTTCTTAATTCTAAGATTTTCCTTCTTTTCAATCTATTAAATAAATTAATTGTCTAAATACTATATAACTATTTACTTCCAGAAGTGGATTTTTTATTTACGACTTTTTTGAAACAATGCAATCCATTATCTTTAAAGCACGCAGAATGTGTTAACGTTGTTATTGGGCTTATTTTTTAGATTGACTAAAATGTAATATTTCTAAAATAATGTTTACCATTAACAACTCATATATATACGTTCCCCTGCTAGACACAGATCGCGTAAAATGTCTTTTTCTTTGCCGATAAAGCAGACTATAGTCAGTCGTTTTTGAAGACGGAGTAAAATGACAGTTTATTGTGCAATAGTGTTGCCCACTTGCGAGCAGTGACTGCAGTCGATAAATATTCTATCAACTATCGACTCATATTGGTCACGCTTATGAAATAAATAGCCGAACTCGATCCTTGAACCATTATTCATCCAATGACTCTGTGTGATGTTTGTGAAAAATATTAAGAGGAGATATATTTTAAAGTTTTTCATTTTAATTCAATATAGATAATCAAATCCGACTGTTCTTGTCAAAATGTTTATGAATAAAAGTAGATCTCGATACTAGTAGGTCATCTGTTAAAACAGAATAAAGAAGGTAATAATGCAATTAGTAATCATTAGAACGTCGTAACATTCATAATTCAGTCAATTTTAACTTCTTTCACAATATATCGATAAAACTATCGACAACAACTACATAACTATTTAAAGTTTTATGAAAACTGACAACCCTACAAATGTCATTTTACTGCATGTTTCGAAAAGATTAAATGGCGCAGTTGGTCAAGTGGAATTCGAACCCACGACTTCCTTCTAGGAGACTCGTCCAACTACGCTAATAACTAAAATGTAATAACAGAAATTCCGAGTGGTCACTCTTTGCTTTTTATTATTATTATTAATTTAATATTATTAAGTATCTATTTAAAAAATGTAGAATATTTTCATCTTCTGAAGCCCTGTCATATTTTTCGCATTTTTTCTAAGCATAAAACCACATAAGTGACATTTTCCACAAAAAATAAATCTCCAAATTATGTACCTGTCGTAAGAAAATCACCTTCTTTCTGCAGATAAAACTCTTATTAAGTTTATAGTTTTTTTGTTATTGAGTTTCACCTGCAGAAAGATAGTGATTTTTTTTACCATAGCAATATAAATTAAAGACTTTATTATGTTTAAAATGTCATTTATATGGTTTTACGTTTAAACAGGCTATATATTTTGACAAGTTTCTTACTTATTTTTGAGCACTAAATACGTTCTCATTATTACAAATATGTAAGTGTATTTATATGTATGTTAACGTACGTATTGTGTAAGGTACAAAAAACATTTCTTGTCCAGCCCACCTCACGCTGGAGAACGGTACGTATTGACGAGGTTTGGCCACATGAATTGTTAGATGTCTAATATACAATGCACTGTGAGAATTGCCACTAAATACTTACGATATTAATTATTACTATAAACTCTATAGGTTTTCATTATACAGGGTTATTTTAATTCTTTTTTAAATCCTCGCAGGACTATATTGCTACGTCTAGGAAACCCAAGGGCCGGCAGCTACCTCGCCCAACGTATTAGCATAGCAATGCAAATGGGGAACGCTGCCAGCATCTTGGCCATTTGCCGCGGGGACCCAATTTTATTAATATATAATATAATTCTAGTTTTTGCTTCTAGTATTTGAGCTTTTATTGTACCAGTGTATTTTTATTTATTGTCTAAGGAAAAGAATTGAAAAAAAATTAGCAAAACTTTATTTTTACGTTTTTGTTGTATTGTCTAGCACTTTTTAGAGCTGTATTTGGTAGAATAAGGGTCGTATTCCAGAACTCTACTCAATACTTAAGTCAGGACTTGAGTATTGCAGTGAGCACTGAAAATTATACTCAAGTCCTTGCCATTAGGGTCGTATTTCCAGTGCTTGAAATCATACTAGAATCTGCTCAAATCCTGGCTTGAGCATTGAGTAGAGTTCTGGAATACGACCCTAAGTTTCAGTTGAAATGTGCAAGCATTGTGTTCGCAGTATTGCACAGAGTTATTATCGTTTAGAGCGATCTATTTAAATCGATTCATTTTTGTATGAAAGTAAAATGTAATGAATTATTAAAAGTCATGGAAGAAAGGTTGTTTGTATACGAAGTTAGTATATAGTCCTAGGAGGTTGTTAGTATTTTAAAAAATAACCTTGTTTATATTTATTATAATGAAACTTTTTGTAAGAATTTATCATTTACTCAATTAGTAAACTCAAGCCGGGTACTAATTAGCGAGGATGTAACTGTAGGGGCTCATTCAGAGAGCAGGCGCGAGCGCGGCGGCGCGCGGATGCGGATGCGCGGGTCTTGGCGTCTTCCCTTTCACAGTGCCGAAGCGGCTACGAGCGGGTAGATCCACATGTTGAAATCGCAAACCGAGACGTTAGACCAAGCACTGTGAAAGGTACGGGTGGACCGAGCCAATAGATCTACCCGCGGGACACGCGCGCGCCTCGACGCAGGTGCCGCCGCCGGCGCGCGCGGCACTGTGAACGCAACAAGTGTCTATGTACATTTTATTTACAGGCACCGGCGCCGGCACCCGGGCCCCACCCGCGCCCGCACTCTGAAAAAGGCCGTGACAAATATTGTTAGGCTGGTTTCATAGAATTTATTACAGAACCATGGACCAGTAGCTCAAGAGGACTGCAAATTAATCTCCATAGTAGATCGTAACTGTGAAAAAGGTCAAAGTTCCGTCGTATATATCCAGATGGCGCTGATCGATAGCCTGGAAGTGGTTTATATTCTGTAAATGGGCGTGGACATAAATTAATTCCTCTAATGTGATATACATGTAGTCACTTTGTTTTCGTTGTAATATTATTCAAATATTGACCATGACTTAAAATTATTTTCTGAACTTTAACAAATGTGCGTGTCAATAGATGGCGTTGTGTGTTACAAACTAATTTATAATTTAACGCTTGCTAATATGGATAGATGGCGCTAATCCTAAACAGAATAAAAGAATAGCCGACAGTATCCACAAAAATCAGTGCAAGAAGCGCCTAGTTGAATTGTGTATTATCACCATTGACTTACAATTATATGGACGTCGGGTCCGCGCTAAAAAGTGTCCGCACTTGTAAGGCGCTAAAATCTTATACAGAGCGCCAAACTCCGCTTTAGTCTTCATTTGTTCTACTGACAGCGCGATACTGCGATGACATTACAATTTAAATTTCGAATAGGTTGACTTGGGACATTTTTTTCGTGGTTTTTGTATTAGACCCGTCGTCCATTTATTTGTAAGTCAATGATTATCACTACAAATTAGAGTAAATTTGACAAATAACAGCTCGTCAATCTAAAACAAATTACATAAAAAAGGCACTAAATACCCGACTATGCTGTCTCGTGGCGTGAATAGCAGTTATCTTGGGTTATCGGTTCATGCTAGAACGCAGTTATGATTACGTGTTCTTTCGGAATTTGAGAGAAATTTTCTCACAAATTTTGCATTGACATTGACATTTTAAGTCCTAAAATTATCCTAAAAATGAAAACACGATCGTTAATTCACACTTGGGTTTAAGTTTGAAAAAAAAATCAAAAGACTGTTAGAAACATTTTACGAATTCAATACAAAAAGCCTCATTTTAGTATTGTAATTAGACTTACTACTTACATTCTCATATCACCTATGTTATGTCTTAATTAGAATGCATGAATATGTTTCGGAATGTCGTCTTGTGTCTAGGTGGTCTAATTTCTTATAACTTCGTTATACTTCTAAATAATAATAATAATTATATACTTAGGTACTGTATCGATAACGTATTACTTATAATGGAATTTGTTTTTATTGGCACTTAATACGAAATAGAAATTTCAAATATCCACGAACATCACCGAAGTAGAAATTTACACTATATTGCACTACTATTACAATATGTTTAGTAAAGTTACGTGTAACAAGGTGTTATTGTGTTACAGCGAGTCACGGGATGCGTAAGACTGGTGTGTGCCAGGCAGGATTCTCAGCAGCTATCTCCAAGGTAAGTCCAACTATATTTTATTAAAAATTTTGACTTCCATCTCACCTGATGGAAAGTGACGATGAGGTCGACGATGGAGCTTTACCTGAATAATTTTTATTCACTCTCGTCTTAAAAAGGCCCAAGTTATACCCATTCAGGAAACAAGTCTGCAGGCAGGGAATTCCTTTCCATACGCCATATAAATATAAATTGTTGGATTTATAGCATATTCAATACTTATAAACAACTGCCTCCGTGGCCGAACGGTCACCATGCCGGACAGTCACGCAGAGGTCCCAGGTTCGATTCCCGGGCCGGGAGTAATATTTATATGGCCTATAATTATTTATCTCGTGAGTTTGGGTGTAATTTGTCGTTGTCTATAGTGCACACGCACCCGCGACACAGGGTTTTCCTAGTGCGGGGTTATATTGAGTGTGTGCGTTATGATTATTATTACTATGTTACTTTTTACATGCAATTACGAAACAATAATTCTCTGACCTACATCTTTTTTCCATTAGATTCCTATATCTGAAACCATTATTGAAAGTCAGCATTGGTTAAATATCACTATGCCTTCGCATTTATTTGTGAAACTGAGCTTTAAGAAGTAATATAACCTTAAATGCAGACACGTCAAAAAGTGAATGATTTACAACTTTGCAAGTTACAGTCGTCCAGTCATGCCAATACAAAGTACGTAATTTATATGCCACCTCATTGACCCAAACAGAAATTGCTGTAAACGCTAATAAATTAAACCTGCCACGTAATGTTGCCCAAAATTGTCTGCCACTAAGTGTACGAATATTGAATTAAAACAGGTCTTATCATCGCTTTAGTCACGCGATTCGAGAATTCGAAGAAATTTGCCTGATTTTTTTTTAATTTGAAGTTTACTCGAACTTAAATTCAAGTTTAATCCGTGAGAAAGATAATTACGTGTTCTGAAAATATTATGAATACCATTGTTTAACAGTTTCTCATTGTTTTGGGATATGCGTGATGCAATGTCTCAGAAATGTAAATAAGGCACAAGTTTGTTCTATACCTTATGTACAATAACGTAACAATAGCCGTGTGAATCTAAGTCCTACCTATAGTCCAATTCAGAGAGGATCAGTCCTGTGACATTTCCTAGTTTTACGTGACACGCATAATGTTTCTAACTAATCTTTCGACAAGGTTACAAAAATAAATAATAAATTTGTCATAACATAATGTACCAAAATTATTAATACAAAGATCGAACACTCAGAAAAAACACTCAGAAAAAATTCCTTCGATCCGGTCGGATTCGAATCAATTCAGTAAAAATTTAAATAATACAGTGAATAGCGACATCTCTCGCCAGGACTGGTAGCTGTAAAGGTATCTAACTGGGTGATAAATCTGTCAAAGATTTCTCATAGATGGCGCTACGACTAAAAAGTCGTTGAAAAACCAAGTACTTATACAAAGACACGACGCAAGCACATAGAAAAATTCGTGAGGTCCGTTGGTTCGTTCCGTGGCTTAGTTGGTATAGCGTCTGCCACGGTATGCAAGAAGACGTCGGTTCGAATCCGACCGGATCGAAGTATTTTTTTCTGAGTGTTCGATCTTTGTATTAATAATTATAACAAACTAGTGGAGTAATTTCACAAAAAATAATTGAATATCAATTCAATAAAAATGTAATTAATAATGTACCAAAACCAAGCAATATTTATTGCAGTTGTAATTTTAAATAAAAAAATATAGTATATTAAGTAGAAAGAAAATGTTTAGATAAAAATAAATCAAGCAATTACTTGATGCGAAAAACGGAATCTTTCATTCGTAGAGATTTACACTATAAAATCGATAAGTCGAATCGTCTATTGTGTATCTCGCGTCAATTTTCTTTTAATGAAAAAAAAAACATAATAATTGAATTATTATTATTTTGTCTATTACTTCTTCTTAAATTATTTTCCGTAAATATATTTTCTCTTCGTTACAAATTATCTCGGTAAGATATTTAAATCGATATTTTTTCGTTCGATTTTACATCACCACATCTATTACTTCAAATCTCGAACGTCGCCAGAAAGCTCCCAAGCTCCCAGTGAAAAAGTTCGTCCAGGAAAATACTGCTTCGCCTATTACTGTCGCCAAGCCGTAATGTGAACGTACTGCGTTTCAATTTGGAAGGGTAGGGTTATTGGTGAGATTTACAGGCACATGAAACTTTTCAACTTATATCTCAGGGCAACGGGCGCAGGGGCAGAGTCCCTGAGATCTTTGCAACTTAAAGCTCTAAGATGCAATGCAGCTATTGCGGATAGACGTGTCGCTTACCACTAGGCGTATAAAAAAAGTCAAAATAATTAGTACTTACACTACGCCATCGACGGCTCGCCACTGAAGAGCAGAATACCAAAAAAATGCAATGTCAGTTGAATAGAAGCTCGACGGCTATAGCTAGCCACATGCTAGCCACTGACAAATCACTCTCAGAGTCGTATTCTAGAACTTTACTCAAGCAGTGAGCACTGTAAATCATACTCAAGTCCTTGACATTAGGGTCGTATTTCCAGTGCTTGAAATCATACTCAAGTCTGCTCAAATCCTGACTTGAGCATTGAGTAGAGTTCTGGAATACGACTCTTAGACACACAACTGAGATGATATAAAATTATCACATATGAGGCTCTGATAGCTGAGAGTGGTGGACCCGGCATGACAACCAAAAAAGACATGAATCCAGGCAGATCTTTGCATGAATACTAATAACTAGTTGAGTATAATTATTAATACAAAGATCGAACACTTAGAAATAAAATCCTTCGATGCGGTAGGGGCTAGTAACTGTAAAGGCATCTGGATGGCGAAATACTTTCATAGATTTCTCATAGATGGCGCTACGGCTAAAAAGTCGTTGAAAAACGCATAAAAAAGCACATAGAAAAATTCGTGAGGTCCGCTGGTTCGTTCCGTGGCTTAGTTGGCATGGCGTCAGCCACGGTTTGCTAGAAGACGCTGGTACAAATCTTTGTATTAATAATTATAACAAACTAGTGGAGTAATTTCGCAAAAAAATAATATAGTATAGTATCATGAAAGCAAAACATCGTGACATTCAATAAGCTTAAAAATGACAACTGACACATGTTAGTAAAAAAATATAAAGAATTACGTTGTCCAATTAATTAACGTCATTTTTGTTTCAAATTAAATGTAATTAAAATTAAAATCAAGTTATCAAAATAGTGATTTAAATTGCTTTATAAAAGCCCTCAAAGCGGCATCCGGTAACGACGGCAATTTGTCTGTTTCGCGGAATATGCGCACGCGCATAATTACTATTGCATTACTTATGTGTGCGTCCGCAAATCATATTAATGTAGTGTCGTAAATTTTACTCCTTTTTCGGGACCACCTACAGCGACTGTTAAGTAATAGTTTGTCGTATTGAATTACAGATTTCACATTTTATTTGTAAGATCGTAAAGGTTGATATTTTGAATAAATATTTTGTCGCTAATTGTACGTGTTTTGTTGCTATATAAAATACGAAATACTTTAAAAAATTGTGATTTATTGTGTTTGCGGTGGACTTATACCTTGTTTTATTTCTTAACCGATTTCGAACTTTTTTTTGTTGGAAACGGTATATATTACGTGTAACACATAAGGGATATTAGCGGCGGTCCCATTTAAAGGACAATGGCAAACACCCATACAAATTTTGTTGACATAATTTGTATGCGTGTGTTAATGAAATTAATCCGGTCGGATTCGAACCGACGTCTTCTTGCATACCGTGCCAGACGCTATACCAACTAAGCCACGGAACGAACCAATGGACCTCACGAATTTCTCTATATGCTTGCGTCGTATCTTTGTACTTGGTCTTTCAACGACTTTTTAGTCGTTGAAATTTTATCTGAGTGTTTTTTCTGAGTGTTCGATCTTTGTATTGATAATTATAACAAACTAGTGGAGTAATTTCACAAAAAATAATTGAATATCAATTTAATAAAAATTTAATTAATAAGAAATAAGTTCAAACGTGCAAGCGTCCTCCGCGAAGACTCCCACCCCCGTCCTGCACAGAGTTATTATCGTTTAGAGCGTTTAGATATATTTAAAATTAAAATGTAGTAAAATCTGATTCATTATTAAAAGTCCTGGAACAAAATATTAGGTTGTTAGTATTTTAAATATAATCCTATATAATTCTACATTGCTCCCGGGTACGGTCTGTGAGATGACAAAAATACACCCCGCTTCATGTAAAACGTTGTGATTTCGCCACCGTGGGAATAGATTTACTTTTGAACTTGCTATTGCAGTATTAGTGTGTGTAAGCAGTAGGTTAACTTTTAGGGTTAGTTTATTGCGTAAATATCCTTGGGGTAGAGGTGGAGGAGGAAAAGAAACATCAGTATTATAATTATAACTCTACACAACGTTCAGAAAACTTATGAACAAAAAGAACACAATAACAACAATACAGAAGAAAGTTAAAATAGAAGAAGTTCTTAAAATAGGTCATATGAGTCGTTTGAAGCCGGACGTTTTGAATGCGAGAAGGCTATCACGGAATATATCATGGTTACAACAAATATCATTATAACATGTTATGTTCTACACATACGGTAAATTCGACTATTTACAGAAACATTATTACTTACGAACTTATTGAACGAGTTGGCACTCTTATGTGGAGCTTATCCAGTAATATGTCACCAAATCCACCACTAAGTACATACGTCACTGGTAACTCAACGTAAATCTTTATTTTAACAAAATTTCAAAGGAAGAAAAAAACAATGGAAGGGCCTTACACTAACGCATAAAAACAAATGATAAACTCTTTGAAATCTTAATAATGATTGGTCGTAGTTTGTAATTTAAAAAGATTTAATAAATTCTGAAATGTCAACATGATTTCAACTTTACCCAGTCGTTATATAGTTGAAAGTTCAATATCTGTGCTAAAGTGATGCCATTTTGCTGCCAATAGCTGGACTTCGACGAACGACTAA